AATTTCCAGATATACGGTAATTTTCATTAGGACCAGAGAAGATGAAGCATCAAGAACAGATACAGGTGTATGTTATAAGATGGCGTCCATCACAATGTTCAGTTGATCCAATAGCAGAAATTATACTTGATGATAATGATCCTAAGGATGTTATTGAAAAGGTAATCATAATTTTATCGTTGCACTGCATGGGACAGTATACTTGTTCAAGCAAGTAGTTATGATGCTATAAGATAAAACTGTATATACTGTATTTATCTGTGATAAGTAGTACCGTAGAGCTAGATAATTTGGTGGAGTAAAAATTTTGCAAAATTGGTGAATGGAAGTTAATTCACCAAAATTTTAGTCTCCAATTTGATTAGGGTTCCATAGAAGCAAGCAGAGTTAAATTTTGCCCAAATTTTAACCTCCAAACCTCTTTTAGAGTCAATTCACCAAATTTTAACACTCAAAATTTTTTAGCTATACAGTAGTTGGCAAATTTTGGATTTTATATCAAATGGCAGATTTGATAATGGTAAAAAACTGTCAATCACCAATACAAGTCTATAGGTTTATATTAACATTAATCTACAATAAGGCTATGAATAAATAGGTATGTATATCATTATCATTATTGTTTTTACAGCTGTCAGAGTTAAGTGGAGTTCCTGCTCAGTATATCTATTGTGCAGAGGTTAATCATTGATACAAAACATAATAATAATAATGCTCCCTCTTTTTAACTCTTAGTATGGATTATTACCAGTTGAGATGTCATGTCTTGATATTGAGAATAAGTTGAAATGGTGTTCCATTACTTCAGACAGATCCTCATTAGGACTATACAATGATGGACATGTCGTATATTACAAGTACGAACGCATACACACATTATGTATACACACACACTTACATACACCTCTTACTGTTTATAATTATTTAGAGACAATAGAGAGAGAATGAATAGTTAACAGATAAAGAGAGATCAGAAATACAAGAGGCAGAGGAAGCAAGGTACTATCAATTAATGGTACAAAATAAATGCATTAGTATTATAGAAAATCATTTTTCTTTTACATTTATTATTGCTGTAGGTTGAAGAAAATTAGGGAATAGAGATATCAACATTGAAATTGATAGGGTTAACATATTTTAATCTTCATGTTATACCGTATAGCCGCTTAATTTCGAGGGTACAACTTTCGCTGTTTTCGCGGATTTTCCCTATTTGCGAAAGTTAATTCCGTGAAATATCCGTATTGCCCATAAACACGTGTGCTTTAAAGCAGGAACCGCGAAAGTTAATTCGCGAAAAAAGACTTGTGGCCTGATTCGCAAAAGTTTATTGCCTCGAAACTTTGTGGCTATACGGTATATGTAATTTCAAAATAATAATTTACCAAGTGCATTTTAATCTGGTGTAGTTAGTTTTATTATTATTATTGAGAATTTTAAATGCACTAGAGTTTACACAACAGTGGTAATGACTATGCTATGTACTGAAGGTCCCTTAGCAACTTGTGCCTGGACTATAAACTAACTTACAAAATTTCAAGTTTGTGCAGCAAGTTGTCAACTATTGTGTTTTTCTAATCACAATAAAAAGACCAGGTGTTTTATTTCAAAGCATAAATTCAACAGAGGCAGACTGAAGAATATTGAGTTCACGACAGTCAGAAGAGATTCAGAGTGTGAACCATTGTCCTTTGGTGAGAATAGTGACTAGAGGGAGGGGCTGGCTACATGGGACTAGACTTAACACTTTGATAGGGTCCTCACAGGAGTCTGATGACCTGCAGCTGCTTGACCAGTAACACATCATTACAAGGCAACTTATTGTGTATCAATCAGTATCTCTATACATTTTGTAGGACTATAAGTACATGCAAGCAAAATATTTTAATCATATTTTGTGCATTAAGTTAAAAATGAATGTTTCATGATAATCTACACATAAACAAAGTTACACTTCTTCCATATCAGTAATATCCTCCTCTTCCCCCTCTCCTTCACTGCTTGATGATGATGAATATTGTAAATCATGACTCAATATGTCCATACCACCACCAGTGACTGGTAACAAACTACTGGCTATCAATCCTTCTCCTTTCCTCTCTTTCTCTATATCCTCTTCATCTGTGCCTTCAACATCTATAGTCCCAATCTATACAGTCATTGGACAATCAACAACTATCATACCGTATATACAGTAGAAAATTTTGGAGGGACTAAATTTTTGTAAATTGCTAAATTTTGGTGATTGGTGAATTTTAATTTGGCAAAATTGTGTCCATGTGCCATTGAGCATGCACATAATGGCTCAAAATGGCAGATTTTTATATTGCCGAATGACAATGAAAATGGAAAATTTACAAATTTTAATTCCATCCAAAATTTTCTGTTACACAATAATCTGTTTGTTTCCATACCTGAATACTGTCTTCACTAGTAATGATGACACTGGATTGTCCAGTAATATTCATGTTAGTACTAGTATCTTCTTCCTCTGCCTCCTCATCTCCACTCTCTCCTCCTAGTCCTTCTG